GTTTTTTGTTTTTGTTTTGCAATGAGGATTAAAATTGCTGGGTAAATGTATTAGAACAAGAAGCAAAAATCAGATGCTAAAATAATTCCTAATAATCAATCTGCCTTCTGAAATCACACATAGCCAGGGAGGGAAGCCAGAGAACCTCTTACCAGATGAACTCCCTGCAGTGAGAGCAGTATGTGGGCTGCCTTAGGTACGTGGCCATGAACTTGTGCCCATTGATCTGGTGGACACGCCTTCGCATGGCACCCTGGCGCTTTCTGGTAAAATGCTTGAAGATTCGGTCTCTCTGGAGAGTAGCTGTATATTAAAAGAAAGGAAAAAAGAGTTATGTGTAATGAATCCAGCTGCACCTAATGGATGAGAAAATTGGATAATTCAAATCTTCCACAAATTATTTTTTCGATTCAACTCATAGTGACTCTCTAGGACAGGGCTGTACTTCTCAATAGGGTTTCCAAGGTTGTAAACTTTAGGGAAGCAGACTGCCACATCTTTCTCCTGTGGAATAGCTGTCGGTTCAAATTGCTGACCTTTCAGTTAGCAGCTGAGCGCTTAACCACTGCACCACCAGGGCCCCTTCTAGTGACCTTAGGGCTCCTAATTTTTCAGGTTACCCCATCTGAACCCCAGATGTCCACTCCCTAGTTATATTTGGCTATCTTGGGCTGATCTCCCCGGCACAGGACATGAGTTTCCTAGGGTTCCGATGCTTCAGCATGTGATATTAGCATAGTCTCCTAGCCCCTGGTCAGTTGTCTGGGATCTCTGGCCCATCTACAGGCAGTAACTGCTGGATGGTTAAACAGTATTTCTCATTACACCCCATGGATTCTGGTCTCCTCACAAACTGAGTGAGGGAACTGCCCACAGTACAGGTTGCGAAAGCCCCGCTCAAAAGCATCACATCAGCAGCACCTTTGTCAACCTGGAATAGGGAGAAAGTTCCTTTTCTAACTCTGTATTTCTAAAACAGTGGCTCCTAATCTGAGGACTCTGAAAACTGTGTACCATCTAAAGTTAATTATGTCTTTTGCATAACTCTATAAAATTTTTCAAAAGTATGCAGAGAGATTTGTGATTAGTAAAATAAAGATTATTTCCTCAGTAATGCTTTTAAATTAATTGTAGATGCAAAGGAAACTTAAGGAATCATGCAAGAATAATTTACTAATAAATCTAAAAATCTAGAAGAAATGGAAGATTTCCGTGAAGATACAAATTACCAAAATTAGCTAAAGAAGAGTCACGTAAACTAAACGGAAACTAAATACTTTTTGTGGAAGAAATTGAGAAATGTTTCTAAGAACCACCTCTCAGAAAAGCTCCAGGCCCAGATGGCTTCATGGGTGAATGATTTCAAGCCTTCACAGAACAGATGTTAGTGTTTAAACCTGTTGCATAGGA